AGTATATCCGACATATGTTCACTACGAAAAGTTCAAAGGAAAACCTACTTATCCAGATGGAATTAATTCTTGCTTGTAAAGGACACACACTTGTCCATTTCTTTGTCTTGTAGTCATTCCCCATTCATGTGGGGAGATTGTTGGGTTATAAAATGTGTGAATGGAAAATGAAGAATTGTGACTTTTATGCAGAGTTGTGACTTTTATGAAGAGTTGCGACTTTTATGAAGAGTTGCGACTTTTATGAAAAGTTGTGACTTTTATGAAAGGTTGTGACTTTTTCAAAGGGTTGTGACCTTTTTGGTAAGGCACAATAAGAACATTTTCACACTACCCTTTGTTTTCTATAAATTGAGGGATTTCCTTTCATTTTAAGTGAACCAATTTTCTGAACCTCTTCTACTACTACTAAATCTAGTATTCTAGGTGTACTTTACTGCCGTTTAGTGGTTCGTTGACAGCGTGGCTTTAGGTACCAATACACCGGTGAGTAAGATCATTCTATCTTGGGAGGATATATTTCATTAACCTCGGGTACTTGAGGAGAATAATTTCCTTAAGGAAACACTATGCATTCAGTGGGATCGATTTTCTTCTTTAAGAAAAATATTTTGTATATTGTTTCTAATCTATTTTAGAGTTTATTTTCTCTACTGGTTTTAATTTTCTATTTTTGAAAATGCTCTTTAAAATTTGTTGTTTCTTATCAAGTTCTTCAATATTTTTATTCTAAGTATCTTAGGAATACAGGATGAACAACATACATATGGCATAATTTACATATAGGTTTTAGATAGAAGATGATTGAAGTTCAACTAAACTTAAGTTGTGATCTTTTGTTTGTTAGATTTTTTAACTCGCATAGAATATATTTAGTATGACTTATTTACTTATAGGGTTAATAAAAAATGACGAAAGATTCGAGTAGGTTTAAATTAAATTGTGTCCTTTTAGCCATTAAATCTCCATTTGCAATGTTATAATATGACATATTTTTTCTAATAATTGTAGCATGAATATGGAAAGAACAAAGATTCAACCAGGTTTAAATTGTAACCTTTGAACCCATTAAATTTAACTCACAAAAAATATAGTATGTGATAATTACACTCTATATGTGATTATTGTTTGTTCTTTCATTTTTACTTACACAAGTAGACTTTCTTATTGCGTTGATCAGGGAAAGACATGACAAGGAACATGAAACTTACGTGAATGTAGAGATTATCCTAAGCCCAAGAGTCAAGACTTTTTTTATTTCTTGATAGGGAAACTTTATTGATTGAAACTAAAAAAAATGATTTGGACAAAGAAGAATTTACTAATTAAGTTTAAATTTTGACCTTTTAACTATTAAACTACATGCGACAAAATCATAATATACGAAATAAATTCAATATATTTATGTTTTCATCTTTCGCTTTGGATTATACAGATAGAAATTAGTTAGAAAAGATAGGATAAATTTAAATATAGAGCCTAAGATAATTAAAATTTAACTTACTTAATATAGGAGAGAAAAAATCATCATAAAATGTCTATTTTTATTTCATAAAGTATTAGTAAGACAGCCTACTTCTATTTCGTCCTCTTCTTCTTGAGTACTATTCTTAAAATGAAATAAAAATATCTTTTCTATGGTAGATATGTATAAACACATTAGTTTGGTAAGTATATTGTGCAATTATTTTATGTATTTCTTTTCCTCGAAACTAATTTAATTTTTTTTAATGTACCAAAGATAAAATTTGAGCATGATTTGATTTTTAATATAATTGAATACTAATCTTAAAATGAAACAAAATTCTCTTTTATTTCCTCATTATGTGTAAACACATTAGTTTGGTAAGTATCTTGTGCAATTTTTTTATGTATTGCTTTTGCTCGAAACTAATTCAGAAATTTTTTTAATGTAACAAAATCAAAATTTGATTTTTTATATAATTGAATACTATTCTTAAAATGAAGCAAAATTTTCCTTTGTTCCCTCAATATATGTGTAAACACATTAGTTAGGTAAGTATCTTGTGCAATTATTTTATGCATTGCTTTTGCTCGAAACTAATTTAGAATTTTTTTTAATATAACAAAAACAAAAATTGAGAATGATTTGATTTTAAATATAATTGAATAGTATTCTTAAAAAGCAACAAATTTCTCTTTTCTTTCCTCAATATGTGTAAATACATTAGTTTGGTAAGTGTCTTGTGCAATTATTTTATGCATTGCTTTTGCTCGAAACTAATTTAGAAATTCTTTTAATGTAACAAAAACTAAAGTTGAGCATAATTTGATTTTAAATATAATTGAATAGTATTCTTAAAATGAAACAAAATTCTCTTTTGTTTCCTCAATGTGTGTAAACAAACACATTAGTTTGATAAGTGTCTTGTGCAACTATTTTATGTATTGTTTTTGCACAAACTAATTTAGAATTTTTTTTAATGTAATAAAAACAAAATTTGAGCATGATTTGATTTTTAGTAAAATTGAATATTATTCTTAAAATGAAACAAAATTCTCTTAATTCCTCAATATGTGTAAACACATTAGTTTGGTAAGTATCATGTGCAATTATTTGGTGTATGGTTTTTGCTCGAAACTAATTTAAAATTTTGTTTAATGAAACAAAATTAAAATTTGAGCATGATTTGGCTTTTAATATTATTGAAAGCAATATAAAATTTCTACTAAATATGATTTCTTTCATAATTGGAGAAAATTATAATGTACTTTTATAGCACTGCAACGGGTATAATCATACACATATCTTTATTTAATATTCAATAAATATTTAAGTTTTATTAATCATTAAATTAATTTTTATTATATTAATGAAATATTTTTAAAAATTAAAATTTCAAAAATTTTGGACAATATTTGAAATTTTCACTTTTTTCAATATCTTTTTTTTAAATTCATAAATAAAGTATACAATTTTCAGACGTTCTTTACAAAAAAAACATTGTTAATACCCTATGGCCTTCTCTGATGGATAATACTTACCTTGATCTAAATTAATTAAATTATTTTCCAAATAAGAAAAGTTTGACTCAAAAAGATTTGTTCAGCACAAGATTAGAGTTAGAACTACATTTATGTCAAGATGGTAGAATCTAATTTGATATCAAATCTACCCTCATTTATTTTCATGCCGAAATAGTACCCTTGACAACTAATTAGTATCCTCTCATTCAAAAACTTAATTTTCACCCTATAAATAGGAGACAATTCTCAGCAAAGAAACACACCACAATAAGAATATAATAAATCCATTTCATCCAGCATATCCTAATAAACACATTTCTCCTCCTCTTCCTCATTTTTAAACATGGTTAGAACGAAAGTGAAGTTTGTTTTTATTGAAAATAACACTGAGATGAGAGTCTCATATAGAAAATGACAAAAGGGATTCTTAACCAAGGCTCGTGAACTCAACACCCTTTGCGATGTTGAATTGGCTACCTTAGTCAATAGCCCTTGCCATAATGAACTTGGGGTGTTTCCAAATCATGGAGTTGCTACGGACATCTTTACAAAGTTTATAGATCTTCCAGAGGAGGATAAATCAAAAAACATGACGACACAAGAAAAGATAACCACGAAAAGGATCGAGAAAATTGAGAATGAACTTGAGAAGGTAAGGAAGGAAAACAAGAAAATGGAGTTTACAAACCAGATGGATGGATTGTTGAATGTTGAAGAGATGTCGAATAGTATGCACCCAAAAGATCTCAATAATCTTTGCTATGTGATCAATAAAAACCTCAAACTGATAAATGATGCAATCAAAGCAAAAACTGACTAAGAAGGTTCTACATCGGATGCTCCTCAAATTATTACTGGACCGATGAATTTTGGTGGGACTAGCTTACATGTCATGGGCTCATCTTTTGGCCCCTGTTGATGCTCCAGTACTATCCGAGATTCCTCTTTTGGTTCCATCTACTGTACCTAGTGGGACCAACTTCGAGAGGCCAAGGGCTCCTCACTTGGTCCCTGATGTAATTCCAACATCGATGGTTCCTCTGACGGCTCCATTGATGGGTCCTTCAAGCGCTCCTGCTCAAGTGCCTCAATTCATGTTTCTTTTGAGGACTCCTCCTCAAATGGTTCCATTTGTTGATCTTTCGCAGGTTCCTTCTTCATCATCTTCACAAAGGTATCCTGAAATGGCCTATCCAATCCTTCCAACAACAATGGCTTATCCAATGCCTTCACCAATGATTACTCCTCCAATGTCTAATTTAGTGTTTCCTCCAACGGCAGCACAAATAGACCCTTTGATGAATGTCCCCTCCATGAGTGCATCAGTGCCAATGGATAACAATGTTAATGGATCATTTGGCATTCCACGGAGTCCTTCATTTTCTGAGTTGTTGAGCCTGAATGATGATGAGATAATGACTTTACTTGATGATACATCATTCAACATTAATGTTCAAGATTCAAATCACCACCACCGCAACAAGTTATAAGGATATATGATCATGTTCAATGTCTACTATTAATACTGTTCTATAAGTCTGTCAAAAATCCATGTTATTGAAGTATATTTTACTTCAAACTTTCTTGCTTTGTCAAAAAGTCTGTAATTTATTTTGTTTACTGGATATGCTTTGTCTAGTTTCTTCACATAGAAGGTCAATTAAAGTTATTCTTCATATTTACTCTAAGAAAAGATTTTGCAGTTCCTTCCCTAAATCTATGAATGTCTATACTTTCTTGAACACAAATAGAGTTGGATGTTAATTAGTACTGTTCCATCAGGCTTCAACTCCTTGTTAGGATGTAAGTTCTATTCATACACCTTTTTACAACGTGAACTCTAAACCTTGAATTTATATATTTTCCTATGAAAATGTATTCTACATACTTTTTGTCAAATGAGTATGAAATGGTAAAATCAAACCCTTGGACACACACAACAATAATTTGCTAAGAGATTTGATTCAAGTGCCTTATAGTAGCATTCGTCGTTATAATTCATCTGAACATCGTTGAGGGGGTGATAATGATTTTCACCCAAAGAATATTTACAAACATTTATCAAATCAAGTTGTAGAGAATTGTTGTATAAGACTAGCACCTTATTTTAAGACCAACGTAACCCTCGTGACTTACATAATGTGTGAGATTATGCAAAAATAAAGCTATGTTTTAAAATGAGAATACATTTTATTGCCTCTAATCAACCGTGTTAACAATCAGATCTGGAAACAATGTCTCTACTAGAAAGGAATTTTTTAAGCCAACGAGCAGAACGTTTGGGGTATCTCTTTAAATTATCATTATAATCAACATAATTAATTCCATATCTTTGTGTATAGCCTGAACTCCACTCAAAATTATCCAAGAATGACCATATGAAGTAACCTTTTACATTTACACCATCCCTGTTACAAAAAAAAAAAAAACAATTTATTTATATTAAGAAAATGTCTATTCAAATATATACCATGCACTAAAATGGACAAAAAAAATAATAATAGACTTACTGAATGGCATCCTTGATAGCCAATAGATGTTGACGAATAAAATCTGTTCTTTGCAAGTCATTTACTCCTTCTACTATTGTTACATTGGCATCACTCATTCCTAAGAATAATTTGTAGTAAATTTAGTCGGGCTAAGCTCTAATAGACATTGGGTGAGAAAAAACAAAAAACATGTATATATAATTATCGTACGTACCATTTTCGGTTATGTAAATAATTGGATTCTTGTATTTCTCCTTTGTATAAACTAGCAATTCCAAAAGTCCTTCTGGGACGACGAAATCATCTTTCGATCCTGTCTACGAACCAAAAACAAATAAAAATATTTTAAGACAAGGTCCAATGAAAGAAAGATGATATAGATGGACAAATAATAAGTGTATCTATATATACCCGTTTGCCGATGGGTATTCCATTTTTTATACCTACAATAAAAAGATACAAAGGTAAGAACGTTGTTACTGTTGAGAATATAATTAACTAATAAAAATGTTTTCTCTCTAACCGTTTAAGAATATTTGACTTGGGAATAGAAAGTAATTAATTAACCTGTTTGGTATACTTGATAATCTTCGATGTAGGTAATATTGACAGTGTCAGGGTAAATAATATTGGCTGCATACAATGAAGTGTAGTAATTTAACCCCAAGAAATCATAGGAATTCTTCACCATCTCAGCTTCCTCACTAGTAAATTTTGGTAATCGATTTTTCACACGTTCCCGCATACTTACTGGATAGTCTCCATAAGTTACTGGATGCATAAACCTTAATTTCCAGACAAAAAAAACTATTATTTGTTGTACGTATGATGGTTAATATTGTAATGTAAGGAAATAATTACCATCCGAACATGAAGTCAAGAGCCCGTTCAACAGAATATATATCTTCCTTGTTTGTAGAGTTTGGCACAAACCAATCGCTTATCAACGATATTCCTATCTTGCCTTTTAGTGAAGCCTGCATAATTAATTAGTTAAACTATATATGTCAGGTAATTAATTGAAACAGAACGATATATGTCAGGTAAATTGAAACAGAACGATTGTATAGTACGAGAAGAAGAGATGATTAATTTACCTTGTATTTGTCCCTATACAAAGTAACCGCCTTTGCATGAGCTAAAAGCATGTGGTGACCAACTATGTAAGGCTCAGTTGCTGCGTTTCCAACACCACACATATTATTGTTTGTAAATGCACTACATCTGCCTGGGGCATACGACCCCGTTACATACCCAAATAACGCATATGAATATGGTTCATTAATTGTGATCCAATCTTTAATTCTATCTCCAAATTCTTTGAAGCATAATTCTGCATAATCTCCAAAGTCATCCCTATAGTTTAAAAAAATGTTTATCAAAATATAATATAATTGGTCAAAATGTAAAGGGTTGTGTTACTTACACAATTTGTGGACTTAAAAATCCTTGATACTCTTGTTCAAGGGCTTGAGGCAAATCCCAATGGAAAATTGAGACAAGAGGTTGTATCCCATTTGCTAAGAGCTCATTAATGAGATTATTGTAGAATGCAATTCCCTCTATGTTTACTCCTTTGCTTAACTTCCCATCTGATTGTATATATGCAAAAAATACAAACTTATTAATTTTAGAACCAATGTCACTAAAGACTTTAGGGACATATACAAATAGTGTTAATAGCCGCTAAAAATACATATTTAGCGATAATTAAGTTATTGTTGTTAATTAATTTATTGCTAATTATATTTTTTAATGTAGTGAGTGAAGATATAGGATAAGCATAGTTACTCCCAACCACTTTTTTTTAATCACTTTAACTTATCGTCCTTATTAAATACTCTCGTTCATATTTAGTGAATTGTTATGGTATGACACACTCTTAAAAACAAAAATTAAAGGTTATAAACTATTCTTTAGAAACCATAAGTAGTTAGGAACCAAGAGGAAAGTTAAATATAGAAAAAGAAAAAAAAAGTAGCAATAATCCTTTTGAACTTTGGAAAATTTATTTATTTTGAATTATAAAAAAAAAATCCAACAATTCACGATGATCGAAATAGTTGACATTTAAAAAATTTAGGATCTTTACATGTTCCTCTCAAAACAATGGGCTTTGGGAAGATGACCACTATTATTCAATCGTTTTTCTTTTTAAAGATAAGTGGATAAGAATATTATTCTATCCTTTTTTGACTTACAGAAATGGGTTTTAGTGCCTACGTAATTTTATTTTTTTTACTCCTCTTTAAGATAAGTGGAGATTTTTATTTATCACAATTCATAGTATATCAAAAAAAAATATTTTATTTTATCCTTGGTATTAATTGTTTAATTCTTAAAAAAAATTAATATGAATATTACAATAAAATAGGCATATTAATCTAAAAATGAATAAGTAGATTTGAAAGAAGGGATATCATATTTTATTCTCAATTTTTTCTTTTCCCCTAATTTGTGGATCACTCATACATCTAACGATCAATTACCTAATTCATAAATTAAGAAAATTCATGTGCTTGGAATGAATCTAAATATAATTTTTCAATAAAAATATGCCAGAGGAATACAATAAAAAGATGTTAAGAGAATTACAATTTATTTCTTACATGGTAATATTCTTGACCACGATATAGAAAATTTGAAGCTATTAAACCCTTGGGATTTCATTAACTTTATGTCTCCCTGCAAAAATGACAATTAATGCAACAATTTACGCTAAAATATCCCAATTAATTAGTAAAATCTTTATAAAATAATTGAAGTGCTCATAATCTGGTTACTGGTACCTTATAACGATGGTAAAATTCAATGGCTACATCACCATTGCTACCGTCAATTATTCTATCTGTATATAGGACAAAAAAAAAAAGGAAATTAGTTATATAAATTTTTAAGGAATGAAAATTCAGCCCCCCTCCACAAAATATTTAAAATAATAATACTCTAATAATTATGGGAACTGGTGAGAAAATTTGCACATAGGATAGTAGGTATTTTATTTTTAAGGATTGAAAATTCAACCACCATTTTATTTTATTTTTTAAAAAAATCTTTTATAAAAGTATTTTAAAAAAAATTTAGATATTATTTTAAAAAAAACATATCTACCCCAGCCATCTAAGTTCTAACCCTTCACTCCCAATTTTCCCTATTTTTCTCGTGTTGTGTTAGATATATACATATATTTTTAGAAGAAAAAAATTCTAATTGAGTACGAATATAACACAAATGAATATTTTATTTTAAAAAAAAATCTTGTTGTATGAAACTCAAACTAATTAAAGAGATAATGTATTATAAATTCCACTAAAAGGTGTTTCTCAGACTAATAAGGGATAGTTCAGGTTTCAAACTCACACTCTCAATAGTTTAGGTATGAACTTAAAAAAAAAGTGATAATTTAGATGTGTTTTTGACACTTCACTCTTTATTTTATATGTTCATTAATCTAACAATTAAGGAAATTTTATTACTTCTTTTCTACTATCTTTAATACTTAAATTATTACATAATAATAATAATTATTATTATTACTATTATAATAATAATGATGATGATGATGATGATAATAATAAGTGGATTATGCGGACAACTTTAAGAGGCCGTTGATGACCTAAGCCTAATAATAATAATAATAATAATAATAATAATAATAATAATCAAATATAAAATTTCTATAATATCTTTATTGTTTCTTGTCCAATTATTGGATCTGACAATCTTTAGTCTCGTGTGAGTCACACAATCAATAAATCCCCCTTTTCTAGTAAACTGTTTTTAGATCTAAAATTGGATAATATAATTTTACTTTGGGTCCGCTTAATTATATGAGACGAAATTAAAGTTTTGATAAGATATGTTATTTACATTCTTCATTTGTATTTTTTTCATAGATATAAAAATCTTATAAGTTGTGTAAATTATCCAAATTGTCTCAATTCTTTATACAATCTTACAAAAAGCAAAAGTTCATAACAAAAGTATAATACACTATCACAAAATTAGTATTCTTAAAAAAAATAAGTAACTTATTGATCGAACTTTATTCAATAAAAAAGTAAACTGAACTTGAGTTGTAACATACTACTCTTTAATATAATCCACACATATAGTATATATGGACAATTTTCTCACGTTGAGCATACATTTCTCTATATAAATGGTTTAAAGATTCATTAGAGTAATAATATCAACTATAAATTTGGTTGGTGAGAATAATAGTTCTATCGGATATAAATGATTTAAAAATTGATAAGAATAATAATATGAAATCAATGATTGGTAGTTGGTAGTTAGTAGATATAAAATGATGGAGTTTTTTTACAAACTATAAACTTGTGGGTCAATATTTATTTGAAAAATATAAAATTCTTAAATCAAGCTTTTTTAAAAAATTGAAATTTCATCTCATTTTTAAACGTTGAGTTTATATCCTCATAATTTTAAATTAATAAATGAAATCACATATCCAAACGTCTAGTAAATAGACCTATTATTAGAGAGACAGACCTGAATGTTTGTGGGTAAAGGAATCCCAAATACTAGGGCCTTTACCATCTCCATTACTTGCTCCTTCATACTGAAACCAATTAAGAATGTTCATTATTATTGGGCGTGCGAATAAAATCTATCTTATATAGTGTACTGAACGTACGAATTTAGTCTAACGCAAATGATATCATATCATATTAAAAATATCTTTAGACTATTATAGCAGAGAAACACAGAAAACTAAAAAAAAAACGATTGAATGAACCTGATAAGCAGAAGAACCAGTTCCAAATATGAAATCTGGTGGAAAACAACTGCTATTAAATGGATCTGATGCTTCAATTGAAGTTACAAATAGCAGAAAGAGGCAGAAATGTAGAAACAAATTTCTCTCCACAAATATTGCCATATTCAAGTCACACAAATATATTTTTGATTTGATGTCCTCACCATATGTGAAATGACACAATAAGCTCCTTAAATAGATACTCCTACATTGAGGTATTCATTTTCATCGTTTTAATTTATTTGTCTGATTTTGATATGATATAACTATAACAGATAAAGGATTTTGTAGAAATTATTTAACAACAATAATACAATTGGCGTTCTATTATATTTAGCGGTAATAATAAATATAGTATTTATAATTTGCACTCTATATAAATGTTGTTAAAGGCTTAAGCAACTCTGGATATAAGGACATTAATTCAATTGTCGTTATATATTTTTGCGGAAATATATATTACCGTTAAAATAAAAAATTATTGCCAATAAATATCTCTTTTGTTGTAGTGTATAGAGTTTTAAAAAATAAAGATGACTTTAAATATTTTATTCTTAAACTAAAGATATGTAGAATATTCCAAAATATCTTTCAATCTTGTAATCTTAAATCATACAAAAAAAAAAAAAAAGATTAAAGAATTTTAAAATTTTAAAAAAAACCTCATATTTTAAAACTAATTAAGAAAAACTAAATTGAACGAAGAAGTACAATAAATGAAGCGATTTTTTTTAAAAAAAGAAGAAGGTAGTAGGTGAAAAAAATTATTATCGATGAGATTATTTTATTAGTATTATATTCTGACACGTGGAACCCCTATTTTACTTAATATGGACTAAAATAATATTAAATAACTAAAATAATAATGAAATTTAAAATCCTGAAATATTACTAATAATAAAGTTAATATAATAAACACTTATAATTAATTTTTTTAAAAGCAATTTGCCAAATCTGTCAAATAATATAAAAAGGAAGTGAGTGATAATTTCTCTTCTTATCCAATTGTTGGGGCTGACAATCTACCGCCTCATGTCACATGTGACTTCTTTAACCGAATATTATATTGTTACACAAATATTTTTATTATAAATATAAATATTAATTTATTTTATAATTTAAAATAATTATATATCATTTTATTAATTAGTAAAATAATTTTGTATCAAATCTTAATGAAGATACACCACTTTTTCAAATACATTTTGGAAATACATAAATATAGGATGAGAGGTAAGCGAGATAGGAGAAAAGCGAACGAGAGAGTTAGTATATATCAAATATACGTAAATCGCACACTATATACATGCATTTTTAATACATGATATAATCTAAAGTACAAATACTAGGGTGAATGAGAGAGGGATAGAGATACATGTGAGAGGACGAAGACGAGTGAGATAGGAGAGAGGTCAGCAAGAGAATTGATATGAATCACACTTGAATATAATAGCTAAAATAAAGTACACATATTTTGATCCGCATCTACGCATTAAAATTGTAAATTTTTCTATTAGTACTTTCTAATAATCATTTAATAAAGAATAGGTTTGAAAGAAAATAATAAAAATTAAATTAATTTATTAAAATGAACAATAAAATAATAATCTAATTTTAATATAAGAGTCAAATAAAATAAAATAATGAGGTAACCCTTCGGGGTGGCCCAGTGATTTGAGCTTGGGAATTCCATGTTGGAGGTCTCAAGTTCGAAACCCCTTGCTAGCGAAATCAAGGGGTTTGCCTTATGGGTCGAGCTCATCACACCAAGCTTGCCTAGTGCGGGTTACCTCTCCTATGTGATTTGTGAGCTTATTGCATAGGAACGGGAATTTTACCCTGTGCACACCCACAGAATAGCGACTGCGAATTTCCTTATTATTAAAAAAAAAAGAGGTATTAAATGATTTTGGTGCTGACAGTTCCATTATGAAACACAACTCTCTCCACAAAAATCTCCTTATCATGAAGTCCACTCAAATTCTGTGCATGTAATCTCGTTTCTAAAAATTATAATATATATATTATCTACTTTTTTATTTTCCTTAAAAAGTATTAATTTTCTAAGATATAAAAACTATAGGCTTAAAAAATATTTTGATATATTCAATTTATTATATATCTTAATTAAGATCATAAAATTCAAATGTATATTTTAATTTTTAAAAATATTGTGTCATCAAAATATGAAAGACAACTTAAAACAAATGAAAGATATATATTAGTAAGTTTGATAAAAAAAATTGTGCATTGAATCTTCAATTTTTTTGAGATGAAATTTATATATTTGTAAACTATGTAAAAAGTACTATAAATCAGAATAATTGAGACGGAGGGAGTAATTAATAGCAGTATGTCCTACTATCTACCGCCTAGCATGCATGGTCCACTGACATCAAACTAGTCTGAAATTTATTAGCATTTTAATAGTATGTCCTACTATCTACCGCCTAGCATGCATGGTCCACTGCCAATCGTTTTGCTGCCAACCATTAGTGGCTTTTCAGTTTGCTTGTCGTTGCATATCATAATTGTTGCATTAGTACTATTCAGCATTACTCCAAATGGAGTAAGTGCATATGTTACAAACTTTTGGTGCAGCAGCAAGCCGTTGGTGGCTTAGTGTTTCTTTATTTTCATTTTTTATTCCTCCATTATACCTTGTAATCTATGTAACTCATAAGACCATTATCTTCACTATTTACTACACCATTATCTTCATATTCATTGCTAAGAAGACTTCTTCTAGTATAAATAGTGGTGGTCTTCATTTGGTTTACACACAAGAAAATATAGAGAGGAAAAAGTTAGTCAAAAAAAGAGAGTTCTTATTAGTTGAAGGGAGGTGTTCTTTTGTGGAGTTTTGGACTCAACTCTTGTCCAAAGTTGTTGAGTTATACTTTGTGTTAAGGTTGTTGTATCCTAGAGGGGACAAGTCAAGAAGGACTATTGCTGGAACAATGAAAAACATTTGTTGTAGTAGGCTTGAATCTCCTTAAAGAGAGCGAGTATCCGCGCCTCAGCCAGAAGAGATTTATTTCTTCATTTTTATTTTCAATTGTAATCTTGTAATTCTATTATATTGTAATTTTTCACTAACAATTTTAGGGAGATTCAGAATGGCTACAATTGAAAAAACTGCGGATGTCAAGATGGGAGACCTTAACAAGCCATTTCGATTCAACGGTAACCATTTCAAGAGATGGAAGGGTAAAGTACTTTTCTACTTAAGTCTTCTCAATGTTCCTTATGTGTTAACTGAGAAGAATCCTAATAAAGTTGATGATACATCCATGGATGATGATGAACTTATTTCTCATCGTGAGAAAGTGGAAAAGTACGATGGTGATTCCTATAAGTGTCGGTATTATCTTCTTAATTGTCTATCTGATAATTTTTATGATTATTATGATAGAACTTACTCTACTGCAAAGAAAATTTGAAAAGCATTGCAGAGTAAGTACGATACCGAAGAGGCGGGAGCGAAAAAATATGCGGCTAGTAGATTTTTTCGTTCCAATGGTGGACAATAAATCAGTGGTAGACCAAGCTCAAGACTTTATAATGATTGTTGGAGAGGTTAGGTCCGAGGAGGTTAAAATGGAGATAACCTTATTGTTGTGGCATAGTAGATAAACTTCCACCTTCTTGGAAGGAATTTCAAAAAACTATGCGCCAGAAACAAAAGGAAACCTATCTTGAAACCTTGATAATGAAAATCCGCATAGAAGAAGATGCAAACGGGTCAAGATGCACTTTTACAAACAGAAGAGAGCAACATCACAACGACAGTAAATTTAATTAGTTAAAATAATGCTATTCCTAAATCTCACAAAAATACTTCTTTGAAGCCTAAGAAGAAAAAATTCAAGAAAAATAATGGTAGACCTCCCAAGAAAAATAATGGTGAAAATAGTCAAGCACAAAATCAACAAGTTCAAGATAAGGGACCATGCTTTGTTTGTGGCAAGAGTGGGCATATTGCTCGATTTTGTAGATTCTGAAAACGTGGTCCTAAGCCTCAGGTAAACGTTACCGAATAACCTTTTGTGGCAGTGATTACCGACATAAACATGGTTGAGAGTGTTGATGGATGGTGGGCTGATTCTGCTGCAAACCGTCATGTCTGTTATAACAAAGACTGGTTTAAAAAATATACTCATTTTAAGGATCCCAAAACCATCATGCTTGGTGATTCACATACTACTCAAGTGCTTAGAACAGGAGAAGTCGAATTATGTTTTACCTCTGGAAGAGTGTTGACTTTGAAAGATGTACTTTATACTCTTTCCATGAGACAAAATTTGATGTCTATTCTTCTTAATAAAGCAGGTTTTAAACAGATTATTGAATCTGATCAATATGCAATTGTGAAGAAGGGTATTTTTGTGGGAAAGGGGTATGCTTGTGATGGGATGTTTTAATTGAATGTAGAAAATAATAAAGTTTCTACTTCTGTTTATATGCTTTCTTCTACCAATTTTTGGCATGCTCGTTTGTGTCATATTAATGATCGTTATGTTGGAATCATGAGTAGTTTAGGATTAATCCCAATGGTTAAAAAGAATTTTGAAAAGTGTGAGGCTTGTAGTAAAGCTAAAATCACTAAAAGGCCTCATTTCCAAGTTGAAAGAAAAACTGATTTGTTAGAATTAGTTCATACTGATATTTGTGAACTTGGTGGAATTTTAACTCGTGGAGGTAATAGATATTTTATCACTTTCATTGATGATTTTTCTAAGTTAACATATGTTTACTTGATGAAACTAAAAGTGATGCTTTTGAAAATTTCAAAACTTATCTCCATGAGGTTGAAAATCAGTTTGGAAGAAAAATAAAAAGAATTAGAAGTGATAGAGGTCGTAAATATGAATCAAATGAGTTTAATTCTTTTGTTAAATCATTGAAAATAATTCATGAAACTACTCCTCCTTATTCTCCTTCATCTAATGGAGTAGCGGAAAGAAAAAATATAATTTTGGTTGAATTGACTAATGTCATGCTTATTGGATCACACGCACCTTTAAATTTATGGGACGAAACTATTTTGACTGCTTGTTATGTGTTGAATTGACACCTTTTAAAATTGTGGAAAGGTTACAAGCCAAGTTAAGGATTCCTCGTATCACATTCTTGTAACGACCCTAAAAACGAACTAGTGAAACTA